AACTGGAACCGATTCACAGGGCGAATGGATACACAAACTAAGTTTGACTTTTGTTGACATTGCTAGAGGGCATTTGTGTCTCATTGTCTACTTGACTACCTAAAGCTCATAAGCACAATGGTATCAGAAGAACGACTTCCTAACTCGGGAAATGGTAATAACCGAGGAACTTGTAAAAGCTGCATTGGCCTTGGGGCCTGATATTCTGAGGTGCTTCTTTTCTTTTCCTCATGATATTTCTTGTTGAGAAACACTTTTTTATCCAAATCAAGGGTTAAGTGTTAGATGCAGTTGTATGTTGAGTATATTGCAAAGTTCTCAGAAATTAGTAATTGAGGTCGATATAAATAAACTTGACTTGTTTCATTAGGTGTACGGTTACACAGCTGGATACAGTATTTAGCCTGATACAGATTTAAATGGCGGTCACGGCCCCACAGATGTTCAGTGACTGTGTGTGTGTGTGTGTGTGTGTGTGTGTGTGTGTGTGTGTGTGTGTGTGTGTGTGTGTGTGTGTGTTTGTTGTGTCTGATATGACTTGGGGCCTAGCGGGATACTGTCGGGGAATAACATTGTCAAGACATTTTGTTCTTTCATTTTGTCCTTATGCACTATTTTTGTATGATGAATGAAATCTAGTAAGCACAATGAGGGTGAAGAAAGCAAACATGTGCCCTTGACTGGGATATGTTTTCATGGGAGGGTCATATATGCTGTGTATGATTATTTTACATCTCAACAGCTTTTGAGTGCTATGATAGGATTTTCTTCGGCATAGCTATTTTCCCGCCCTCTCTTACAGCCATCAATTCAATCTCCATTTCCTTTCCGACATGTTGGGGAAAGTGAATATTTGCTAGTAATAGAAAAAGCTGGAAATTCACTTTTCCGCCATTTTCTGGCACTTATCTGTGGGTTCAACAATGGGATGGAGAGGCAGAGCCAATGGAGCTGGGGTTAGAAAAAAAAAAAAAAAAAAGACTGGCTTACTTCGACAGGCTGATTTCATTTGGTTTCATCATCCTCTCACAGCATACAGGCCGAGTGACTGCTCTGCTCTCGTTGGGCTGCCGATGGACACACAATGAACAGGCCTAGTGGGGCTTGACAGTGACTCTATCCAAGGCTCTGTTAAAACGTGAACAAAAATAACGAGTGAGTTGTTGAATTGAATATAAAGATCATATCCAGCAGCGGTCAGACTATATAACCACCACGGCCCCTAGTAGACCCCCCCCCCCCACACACACACACACACCACAACACAGACTATAATATCTCTTGTTGTTAAATACCAACTATGTGCAATATATATGCTGTTAAAAAGAGTGCAATATATACCTGGCTGCTAAATCCTCAGAACTGTTACAGGGTGTGTATTTTTGTATGCATGCTTAGGTAACATTAAGCTGTCTTTGGCTCTTTTCTGCTGTAACAATGTACATTTCCCCTCTGTGGGACTAATAAAGGTATTCTGATTCTGATATTTCACTCCTTCATATCTGTTTAAACTAGAGGGAAAACAAAATCTTGCCCATCTTCTGTCCATCATTTATTTTCTCATACCTCATTTTAATCAAATGAAGGAAATGATATCATTGGAGAAGCTCCTGGTGGATGGCACTAAAGCATATCGCACAGTACACTTAGGGGAGGTCCGAAGGGGGGTGCAGATGGATGGAATGTATTATTAATGAGTTGAATATGAGAAGGCAGCGGTGAAATGGTATATCGTTATCAGCGGGGGGTATGAGTCATACTAATTACTGGCCATCAGTGGGGCTGATGCTAAAATCCCCAACCGTGCAACATGATGCTGAACATGTGGAACTGCAGTGTTTTCAGCTCCAGCTCACAAACGGGGTTGGGCACCATTAAAGAACAAAGGACTTAGGTGCATATTTCAAAAGAAGGGTTGTGGATTAGGTGGTTAGAAAATTAGAGATCGGTAAGACTTTATCCCCCATTTGCAGAATTTCTGAAATGATATTGCTTTTTGATTTGAGCACTGAAATAATGCTTGAATTCTCAACTTAGGTTAACTGCTGCTGCTTGTCTAAAAATCAATGCCTTTGTTTCTGCTCCTTACCAACTCATCTATTATTTTGCTGCTGGACCATTGCTCGGCAATTTCAAAGATGTTTCAACCCACCATCTCTTTAATGACCTTCAAAAAAGGCTCTCAGTCGCTAGGCAAAAGGTGTTTGAGGTGCACCACTCACTCTCCTTTTTGAATTTTAGATTTGAATACTTGTGACTGAGCTGCGGTCTCTTGAATTATTACATGGGTGTTCACCCTTTACCTCTTCATCTCACTGTCATCATTTTTGTATATCAACCTAAAACAAGTTGCAGTATAGTGAAAAGCTGATTTCTAGACTTAAAATGTGGACTTGCCTCCAAAAATGAGGGTACTGACTGCTGCGTAAATGTTGATATCTCCATTTTGACATGATGAAACCACAATATGAAGGTAAAGAAGACAGAAACAGCCAGTCCATGCATTGCCACAAATCATAAATATTTATAATAATAAAATATGAATCGAAAGAAGCTAAATCTTTTTTTTTTTTAAAGTGTTATCCAACCGAGACAAACTTCAACAGCTACCATGATCAAAGACTTCTTTGCGAGATTGTCTTCTCAAGGGCTGTTACCAAAGGTCAAGAGTGAACTTTGTAACCCCGACATGGTGGAGAACTCCTTAAGGTGCACTGTTTTTTATTTGACTCGCAACTGGTCAAATGTCCTCTACTAAAGCAATATAATATAATAAACCACTAAATCCAAAGTGCAAAAATAAGGTTCTCTCAACTTTTTAGCCGTTTTTGAGAGGAAACTGAAACTGTGTGTAAATGTAATGGTCAGATCTTTGCTAATAAAGACTTAACTTTGCCCATGAGGATTGTACACTTATTGGAAAGGAGCTAAGACTCAACTTCAATGGTAGTTTTCTGTATAAGTTTTAATGACAAAGTTGACCATTGGTGATCCCTCCCTTTGAATTAATAATGCTGAATCTTCATCACAATGTTTAATGGTTATAGAATATGCTTCCACCTGTGAATGACCGTTAAATTAATGAAATGGTGCATTATAATCACATTGTGAATAGCTGAGAGTATCACCTTAACAAAGGTCTCTGTCACGAAAATGGATTATCTGATAATTATGAGAGTAAAGGCTGCTGCTTTGGCACTATGGGGTATTTTTCCTCTAGTGCAGAATGAATCTGTGCCAGCCACTCAATCAATACCGCAAGCCAAAGAAAAGACAGCCTTATAAAGTGAAATATACAGCCATTTCTCTGTGTGTGGACTACACAGAGTTTACAGAGGCAGTCTGACATCAGTATTGTACACAGGGCTTTGTGGACAGGACTAATGGTACACTTTATTGATCATGTGTGCTGTAATCTGTCAATCCAGCTGCGGCAGAGTGCTGGGACTGCTCTACAGGGTCATCTCCAGCCATCTGCCTCTCAACAACATGAGAGTATCTACAACTTATTACAACAATGCCACGAATCTGGCCACCAATGAGAGCTGAAATAGATCTAAGAGGACAGAAATACATATATGAACTGACAGGTTGAACTAGGTGAGGTTCAGTTATCTAAATTCTAATTTGAAGATTAAAAAGGGGCCTTGTTTTTAACAGATAGTGTCACTCTTATAATATAATGAACTGGTGTTTTGTTTAGGATTGAAATGATCTGCAAAGTGATTGATTAGTCAACAGAAAATCAGTGTTGGGCATGTCACTATAACTAATTACTTATTAAAAAACATTATTTTCCAAATACTCATCAGCTAATACATTTGTTACATTAATGATTACATTGCTAAGGTTCCTTGAAACAGCTCCAATCCTTGCCTAACCATGCATTAGTCGTGGTTGTGAATTGGTTTACCACTTCGGTCTAGACAGATATAACTGTTGTTCTGATGGACTGCCATGAAATTGTATAAAGATATTCATGGTCTCCAGAGGATTAATCTTTATATCTTGAGATATAGAGACATAAATTACAGGAATGATCTGACTTTTTCCATAGCAACATCAGTAAATCAAAGTTTTCACTTATTTTTTGGAAATATATCAACATCTTTTTGGCCGCCAGTGTCTCAACTATTGCGAAGATGAATTGCCATGAATTGTACTAACATTGACATCCCCCTTAGGAGGAATTGTAATTTGAGGGATACCTAACTTTTCGTCAATAACACTAGCTTGGGGTCAAGATATTCATTTCCAATACTTTGGTTTATGACAAAACACCTGTTTGAAGTATTTACCTCGGGCTCTTCAAAGCATATTTATCACTTTTTCGTTGTCACATTCCTTAACCAAATGATGAATCTATTCATCAAAGAAGACAGGTTCATTAATCTAATTTGACAGACCTGAGGAAAAAAACAATCTATAGCGTGACAGCCGCAAATCCAGCACACAACGTTTTTTGCAGTAATGGCCCATAGAAAAAGCTGAAAAACAAATGCAGAGCCCGGCTGGTGATGGTCAATATTCTATTGATTGCTGTGGTTGGACTCACTTTTCCATGGATCAACAAGATATTTTATATAACTCTGTGTGGTTTGGCTGGGCTTCACACTGTGGGCTCATCCAAGGCTCCTACAGCCACATTGTGTTGTTGTGTTTGCTCGCTACTCCTGAATATTAGCCTCCTTGTTTGCATTTGGATCAATGTCTTTCAACCGTCTCCCTTCCCGTTCTGTTATATGTATCCGTGTGTCTCTTTTTTTTCTCTCTCGCTGCTCTTCCTCCTCGTCCCAGCGGATCTCCCAGGCTCTTAGCTGCTCTCCCTTTCTCTTTCTCTCACACTCTCATCTGCAATCTCACATCTTCTCTCTGGTGTCTCAGTGAGTGCCAGGCAGGGCGTCCCTGGAGTGACCTTGGGGGTAATGAGCTCCTGATCACGAGTCAGGAAACCCGGCATTCAACACCCAACCCACCACCCTCCCCTCACCCCATGCAACACACACACACAAAAAAGAAAAAAAACACTACACAGCTATTGCATGCTCAGCCCACAAAGAGAAATAGTATTGCAGAGACAGGGCAGCAGGGCAGAGGTGCAGATGAAAAGAGACTAGTGAAAATACTTCTTCAAGCTCTGATATACAACTACCAGACCTCCAAAATAAAGTAAGTGGATTTATTTTCTGGTGGAACACTAACAGATTCATAGCTTTTGTGGGTAGGTGATGGTGAGCTGGTTTTCTAGAGCATAAAACATTCAAGTTCAATTGTATTCTGTGCAGAAAGACTCGGCAGTACAGATGGTATGAAGGCCAGTTTTGGAGTGTGTTCTTAGCGTGTGTATCTGTGCCTATGTTGGGGATGAGATTTATATGACTGCCAGTATCAACCCCCCTGTTGTTTTCAAATGTTGCAATAAAATAAGTTTGGAGTAAGTTGCCAAAGAAACCCAGTTAAGATCCCCAAGTGTTAAAAATGTGTTTGCATTTCTGTATTTTACAGACATTTTCGCCTGTTCAGTTTACTCTTTAATATTTTACCAAAACGCTTCTGTAGACATGGTCTTAATCGCTTTGTTGCTCTTCCCATTTGGAGCAGATTTTGCCCCGAGGCTATTGATAAGAGATAATAAACATATGAAAACATAAAAGACTATTAAGCTTAAAATACTGAGATTTATAACTGCAGATGGAAAAGTGGCTTGTAGACATATTGGGTAAACAATTGGAAAGTCACAATAATCCAGCAGCCATGGGCTATGGACTGTGGTATTAAATCAGTAACAGGGCCTACTCCTCAGTGATTAGACTTCAAACATCCATATGTTTTGTTTATTATCGCTATCAGCCAAATATATGCAAGCCCAATTAAGCATGTCTGTGCATGGGTGCTGGTTGAAGTAGGCCACTTTTGCCGAGGATGTGGTAATTTGGGTCAGGCCTGACTGGAATGACAAACCCGGAGCGGGCGTATTGTAGCAGCGCGATGTGGTCCGGCAGACCTTCTGCTTGCGTTGCCATGGCTTTCTTCAGCACTGGTATAGCAACCCGAGTCAGACCAAACAGTGTTCCTCTCTGTCTTATGGGCATTCCTGCTGTGGACAAAAGCTCTCTCCGGCTCATTCTTGCTCGAAATGAGGTGTCCGCTTCATTTCTTTAGAATCAACACATGGTGTGGTCCTAATAAAAGAGCTGGGGGAGATTAAACACGAGGTGGAGATGAGCTTGAGAAACCAACTTTGGGTCGGTAGGAAGTCAGAACACAATGTGGATTAAGCTGGACGACAGCCAGGAGGGCCAAACTCATAAAACCGCTTCATTCCTAAATAACTCCTGACATTTTACTTCCAAGATGGCCACTTGGAGGCCTTTAAGAAACATTTTACACATTCTGTCCTTTTCTCTAGTTAAATGCTTGCCCCACAAACTTCACCACGTGATCGTGCCTATATGTCAAGACCAAGCACAAAGCCAGTTCATTTCCTTCTGTGTCTACACAAATGCTTTGACGAGACTGCTCTCCATGGAGGAGCCGGAGCAATAAGGCATAGAAATGCGCTGTTAGGGCCCTGAGAAGTCCGCTCCAGGGGGGAGGGAAGAGCGGTGAATGGAGCCAATTCTCATCTATAGGGCACAAGCAAGTGGGTGAGAGAGAAAGAGAGGGTAGGGGGATGAGGACATACACAAAGATCCTCACATTGAGTGGCTGGTTTATTCTTGTGGGGTACGCACTGACCCCTCACATGCGGGATGAACAGAATGAGCCTTGATGGGGTCCGGAGGGCCTCCAAAGAAAGGGAGGAGGGATAAAGAGAGGAATAGAAGAAAGGAGGAGGGGAGAGATGCCAGGAGAGAGGCCTGTCGAGGAAACATCCTTCATTGCATCAAGTTGTAGGCGTCATATCACAAAAACATCCAAGTGGGTAAACAAAAAAATCTGAGATTTTAATTAACTAGTTGTGGCAACCATTCCCTTTTGAAGTTCTTACTGAGATTTACTAACTTTGTTAAAAGGGCTTAGCAAAGTTAGACAGAGCAGGAAACAATCATCCAGGTTTTAGCACACAGATTACTGTGTGACAAAAATGTCAAAATTAAAGCAGAAGAAACAGAGATCCTGATCCTCAGTATAGGCATCACTTGATCCTACATTTCCCACAATCCAACTCAGAAGCGCCAGTTTGTAATGTGTACTACTACGTTCTCACATTGTAGTCCCTCCAGTATTAATCAAATGTAAGAGTTATTTCAGATGACAAGTAAACTGAATTTGATGCAGAAAAACGGTAGCGTTCTCCTTTAAATATCTCCCTGGTTAGCCACATTTATTTGAAAAGGAAATGTTAACTAATGACTGTCCTTTGATTCTAATAAAGTTTACCGACTGACTTTCTAGTTAAACTCTGATCTAATGTATTTGTCGTTGTTGTATGCGTACAACAACTTTCTCATGAAAGTTCATTACCACCTTGAATGCCTTCAGTGTAAGTTTTAAGTAAATTACTGCCTTGATTACAAACTTTCCAAATCATCCGTCGACTCAATTCAGTAAGTACAATATACTCTAACTAATACAAATAATGGCCAGAACCTAACTACTGTTAGCTTTAGCTGCTGCACAGACCTCTAGGAAAAACCCCAAGATTGCCACTGAACTCTCCCCATGTCTTTTATTCAGCTGTTGCCATGCGCAGTCTGTTGGGTTAATGGTAACGTGTGGAAACGTTCTCATGGAGACGTCAAGCAAGCAGCTATCTCATTACAGGCAGAGAAGAGACAATCTGATCTGTCTTCAAAAGCCTCTAAGCCGGTGATGAGAGATTGTTCCTCTTGTCTGAGGTTGGTCCCAATTGTCTGAGGAAGTGCATTGACAGGGCTACTAATTGCCTTTTGTTGAGGAATTTTAAAACATGGGACAGGGTTTGTGTTTGGCATGTTGTAAATCCCTCAATGGCATTTTGATCAAAAACATACCGCCAACATCTTGTTTTGCCCTCTAAAGAAAAGTGATAATCTCTTTCCTTCCTCAGCTTTTCTACTCTTCCTTTTCGAAAAAACTAATATCAGATTGTGGGCTGCATCTCTCTGCCCCGCTGTTGGCTTGATCTGGTGTTTGATCCTCGGAGAGCTAATGATAACCCGAGGCCTTCCCCTGTAATCAGTCAGCTCATTAGTGTCCAAATGAGTCACACAGCCACCCACACACACGCAAACACAAACTGTCCCCAGGCCTAGAAGGTGACTAATACAGTTTTCTACCTACTGTAAAAGTAAACATACAGTAATGTAAGATTGGACTCTAACATTTAATTGGATGTGTTTGGTTATAGTGTGGTCTGCTACAAATTGAGATTTACTCGAACATATGTATCGGAGATTTAGCTCATTTTCAACAGACTCTCATAACTGAAAACTTTCAAAACATGTTCAGGGGTTTTTCTAGAAAAATATGGTACGAGGGCTTTGATCTTCGCCCATACAAGATGGCGCCGCAGATGTAAACAACAACGCCACGTCGGAGCTCCGTAAAAACAAAGCTGTTTATGCCGTCTGACGGTCTATTTGACACGATTTTCACATTTGTTTTAGTAATTATACAGTTTTGACGAACAGAAATAATGTTTTCTGGCATCAGTTTCAAATTTAACGGGGAAAATCTGCATTTTGGTAAGTAAGAGGGCGCAGCGCCCCTGTTACCAGTTTAAACAAAACCCTGAAGTTTATGGGTGTTGAAATGTAATTCCTCTATTCCACCAAAAAACTAAAAATATTGTTGTCTTAAAGACTAATTTTTCATTCATTTATTTGTCCAGGATTTCTCTTTTTGGGGAGCATTTAATGATAATTATATATAATGACAATAACAGTTTAAACACCCACATATTTCCTATGTTATAAAGGGAGCGGTCTCAATCTAAATTCAAACTGATTTCCTGTATGTAGCAATTATAAAAGTTTGGCTTATTTGAAGCTAATGCACCTGCAGGATTCTTTCTAAATGTGTATCCTCGTGGTTGATTGCACTTAAAAGCGTCTGCTGAATGAATTATAATGTAATGAAAATCATTATGCAACAAAAATGGATGTAGACTGACATTTACAGGTGGATTACACAAAAAATAAGTAAAACTCTGCCAACTAGATTTCATACCAGAAATGAATGAGTGCCTAGAACAGTTGTCAAACATATGCATTTATAAAAATGCAACTGTGCCCAATTGATATCTTGTCTCTTGTGGTGAAAAACCCAAACTCAGGAGCAGAACAGAAAGTGACACCTGTGGTGTGTGGAGTCATAAATGAAATGCACTTTTTGGTTTTATGGTCTATTAAATCTCACTCTTTGATACAGGCTCTACCTTTACATGTCTGCAGAATGATTTGTTTTCTGTCTGATGACTGTAGACTTCAGTACCTGTTCACAGAGATCTAGCTCAGTTTGTTTCGAATGCCTTCAAACAGCGTGGGAGGGCGCTTTATGTTTGATGTGTTCAAGGCACAGTCTGTACCTATGATGTACTTCAGTTCTGTTTTATGGCTCTAATGTCTAAGGAGATGGATTGTGCTCGTATTGAATTTGACATTCTTTGACTTTGACACGCATGGCGGTATATTGTATTTGTTCTTTCACTCTCATTACATTACTGCTCCTGTTTGTTATGTTTATTTGTCTAAGCTTCACATGTGTAATGTATATATTACCCAAGGTCTATTTGTTTATGTATAATATTTCTATATATATATATTTCTATATATATATATATATATATATATGCATGTCATTTGGGATGAATAAAGTATCTATCTATCTATCTATGCTAATGTGGGCTGGGAAACTTTTTACTTGCAACTGTATTGTTTTGATTAGAATGGTCGACAACAAAATGTATTAGTATTAGGGTTTTTGGACACTTGAGAGCAAAACAACAGAACATTACCTTGTTTATGTCAGTTTCCAGCAGATCAGCGTGGATCCAAATTCAGGACACAAACATCGATGGCAGAAAATACCTTCCAAAAAGAAGGCAAAAAACAAACTGAACAGAACTGTTCCTTAAATGACAAAAAGGGATCTAACAACAGACAACCAGGATTTAATCACAGGCAAGACTAATCAGGGACAAGAAACAGCTGGGGAGGAAAGGCAAAAGACAAAGGCACCAGGTG